ATTATCATTATTCATTTATGTGTCTGTAACGCAATGACGTTGCTCGGTCCCTGCTCCTGCCAACCTACTAGTTCGAAAGCACGTCAAAGTGCAAGTAGATAAATAGGTACCACTCCGGCGGGAAGGTAAACGGCGTTTCCATGCGCTGCTCTGGTTCACCAGAAGCGGCTTAGTCATGCTGGCCACATGACCCGGAAGCTGTCTGCGGATACACATAGGATGATTAGAATGAGATGAGCGCACAGCCCCAGAGTCGGTCACGACTGGACCTAATGGTCAGGGGTACCTTTACCTTTACCTTAACACAATGAAAAACGAGAAAATAAAGCAATCGAAACGAGAAATTCTACCCCAAGGTGTGCAAATAGCTAGTGCAGGCCCTCTTCATTTCAGTGGTCCTGCTCTGTGTGAAACCAAACTGGTGACAACCCTTGGTGCTTTGAAAAGGGTCTTTTTTGTTCCAGGGTAAAAGGAGCGTTTGTGTGCATAGGGGAAGGGCAGAGACTGGGGGTCAGGGAGATCTTTGGTTGGATAGCGGCAGCTGCAGCTGGGGGAGCGGGGAGCAAATGGCTATTCCTGAACGGCCAGGTTAATAAACAATGCATGGCGCTGGGGCCGAGGTGGCGTGTCCTGTCTCAGCCGGCGCTTAAATGCCACCGCAATAACAAACAAGATACATTATTTAACAGCCGCTGCGCCTGACCCAACAAGGGTGCTTTTCAACTGCCGGAATGTCAGGGAGAGAGATGTTGCTGCTTTGGTGATGGCTGGCAGGGCAAACGTGCCTCTGATTTACAGCACGACCAAAGATTCAGCGGCCAGAGCGGAAGGGGGGAAATCGAGCAAGCCAAGAACGGAGGAGGATGCCTTGCATGCAGCCAGGCCACTGCTCCTTCTGGTGGAAGAGGCTCTGGTCCTGAATGGGGCAAATGTGCCCCTGAAGGACCAGGTGCGCAGCCTGGGAGTTATTTTGGACTCGCAGCTGTCCAAGGAGGCACAGGTCAGTTCTGTGTCCAGGGCAGCTGTCTACCAGCTCCACCTGGGACGCAGGCTGAGACCCTCTCTGCCTGCGCATTGTCTCGCCTGAGTGGTCCATCCTCTGGTTTTTTCCTGCTTAGACTGCTTCAATGTGCTCTACGTGGGGCTACCTTTGAAGGTGACCCAGAAACTACAACTAATCCAGAATGCAGCAGCTAGACTGGTGACTGGGAGCAGCTGCCAAGGCCACATAACACCAGTCTTGAAAGACCTACATTGGCTCCCAGTACATTTCCGAGCACAATTCAAAGTATTGGTGCTGACCTTTAAAGCCCTAAACGGCCTCGGTCCAGTATACCTGAAGGAGCGTCTCCACCCCCATCGTTCAGCCCGGACACTGAGGTCCAGCTCTGAGGGTCTTCTGCCGGTTCCCTCACTGCAAGAAGCCAAGTTACAGGGAACCAGGCAGAGGGCCTTCTCGGTAGTGGCGCCCTCCCTGTGGAACGCCCTCCCACCAGATGTCAAAGAGAACTCCTGGTTTCCGAACAGAGTTCTCTCCTGCTCCCTAGCTGCAGATGCTGTTGGGGTGAGGCCTGGGACCTCGTTCTCTGCCCCTGAGCTTCTGCCTGTTCCCTAAATACAACCTGCAAAAAGCTGCTTCGTGCTGACTCAGCCTTTGGTCTCTCCCAACCCTAACTGGGGGTGCCGGGAACGGAAGCTGGGCTCTCTTGCAAGCAAGGCCAGTCGACAGTCCTTACACTGGAGTAAGGTTCTAGTCCTCAGGTTTCTGAACAATGGCCTGATTTAAACGGGAACATAGGAAGCTGCTGGTCAATCTGCCTCAAGATCATCCAGCTAGCCTAATAATAATAATAAAATATTATTTATACCCCGCCCATCTGGCTGGGTTTCCCCAGCCACTCTGGGCAGCTTCCAACAGAATATTACAATACAATAATCTTGTTGTTGTTTGTTGCTGTTTAGTCGTTTAGTCGTGTCCGACTCTTTGTGACCCCATGGACCAGAGCACGCCAGGCACTCCTGTCTTCCACTGCCTCCCGCAGTTTGGTCAGACTCATGCTGGTAGCTTCGAGAACACTGTCCAACCATCTCATCCTCTGTCGTCCCCTTCTCCTTGTGCCCTCCATCTTTCCCAGCATCAGGGTCTTTTCCAGGGAGTCTTCTCTTCCCATGAGGTGGCCGAAGTATTGGAGCCTCAGCTTCAGGATCTGTCCTTCCAGTGAGCACTCAGGGCTGAGTTCCTTAAGAAATAATCTATTAAACATTAAAAGCTTCCCTAAACAGGGCTGCCTTCGGTTGTCTTCTAAAAGTCAGATAGTTGTTTTTCTCTTTGACATCTGGTGGGAGGGCGTTCCACAGGGCGGGTGCCACTACTGAGAAGGCCCTCTGCCTGGTTGCCTGTAACTTGGCTTCTCGCAGTGAGGGAACTGCCAGAAGGCCTTCGGCGCTGGACCTCAGCGTCCAAGCAGAACGATGGGGGTGGAGACGCTCCTTCAGGTATACTGGGCCGAGACCATTTAGGGCCTTAAAGGTAAGCACCAACACTTTGAATTGTGCTCGGAAACGTACTGTGAGCCAATGTAGGTCTTTCAAGACCGCTGTTATGTGGTCCCGGCAGCCACTCCCAGTCCCCAGTCTAGCTGCCACATTCTGGATTAGTTGTAGTTTCCGGGTCACCTTCAAAGGTAGCCCCACGTAGAGCACATTGCAGTAGTCCAAGCGAGCGCTCCCCTTGTCCTTCTCTGCACCAAGGCCCTCAGTTTGGCAGTGGGCACCCCTCTGTCTGAAGTCCAAGTCTGGTTTAAGCGGGATGGGGGCAGGTGAGAGAAGAGGGTGTCTTGAAGCCGCCCACCCACCATTCTCACCTGGGCAACGGTTGGAAGAAGCAGGCACACCTGGCCTCGGCCTCCCCCGCTGTCAAGAGACGCCTTGCGTTTCTATTTAAAGCCTCGTAATTATATCTAAATCCGCAGCCATGCATAGACATCAGCATATGCATGCTTTATGCAAATCCGTGACCTCTTCTTTCAACAGAAGAACATTAAGAAGAGGCCTGCAGCTGAATCAGGCTGCTGAATCAGGTAGCTTCTTGCAAGAACTGGTGCCGCGCCCCCAACCCCGGCTTAAATTGTAGCATTTCTCAGGAGAGGGTCTGCAATAAATCACATGGAGCAAGTGAAGTTGCTGTTAGAATTCCTGCTCCATGACTGCAGTCATGGGATTGTTGTCTATCACATGACAGTGTATGTTTTGACTCCACAGAGTGGGAAGTGACGGAGACAGGATGTTTGTGTTACTGTGTTCTGTGAAGTGGGACTATTGTCCTTTGTTCTTTTTCTCTTTGCTGTCTGATGCTAGAGAGAGAGAGAGGGAGCCATGTTGCAGTGCTCCGTGTGTGTGTTTATATGTAAATAAAGTAGATTAGCCAAAATGCTGAGTTGCTGAGGTCTGTCACGCAAACTGCGAAGACTCTTCGGATCCCTAAGTGTGCCAATGTCTGTTGGCATCGGTTGCTGTGATGTTCGGGCAGAAGAAAGATTTTAAAGCTCCCGAACAAACGACCAGGAGGGAGAGACCATGCCAGCTGTCATGGATGCTTTTGTTGAGATCCCTGCATTGCAGGGGGTTGGACTAGATGACCCCTGGGGTCCCTTCCACGATTCCACAATTCTGTGCTTCTAAGCCCCGATTCTGGTGCCCAGAGTAGCTAGCACTGGCTCCCCGCGCCACGTGGTGGTCAGTAGAGGGAACTGCCGGGTGTTCCAGTTTTGGCGTTCACCCCAGCAGGCCATGATCCGCCAAGTGCAGGAGTCATCAGGTGATGCTTGAGGGCCAATCAGGTGTGACTATCTTTGAGTCAGCCGGCTAGTTTCTGCACACCTGGACAAACCCCTCTTTATCTGTCAGGGGCTAGTTGGATGTAGAGGGAGAAGACTGGGAGAAGGAGGAGGTGTTGGAAGCGGAAGAGGTAACAGGGCTTAGTGAGCTGGGAGAGTCTGTGACAGAGAGAAGTGCAGAATCAGAGGCAGAAGCTGGAGCAGAAGAGGCAGCGATGAGGAAGGCTGGTGAAGAAGTCAAGGAGTCTCCCTCTCCTTCTGCAATGAGCTTCCCTTCCCCGCTGGTTGGCCAGAACCAAGAGAGGCATGAAAAGAGCAGAGGAGAGACTGGCTTCATGCAGGCACAGTCTCAGATTGTTGGAGGGAAAACCCTGGACAGGAGGGGACTTTTGCGGCTGTGGGGAGGCAGGGACTAATTGTGTTCTTGCTAATAAAGAATCAGCTCCAACTTGCACAGTGTGATTTACTGCCGGCTCTCTCCTCTCACTATCCTGCAGTCCCGCAAGCAAGAAGCCTGATCAGAGCCTACTGCACCAAGGGATAACATTTGCATTTGATGCTCCGCCCACGTTTGCCTCTGGCCCCTCCCACCACTGGCATGCGGACCTCAGAAGGCTTCCTGGAAAGAAAGGCAGCCCTCAGGCTAGGAAAGGTTCCCACCCTTGCTGTGAGAGACGCACGCCCACCAAGAGAAACTCTAGGAAAGCCTTTGGTGCACAGCTGCTCCGATCTAATACAGCTGTAATTTCCATTGATGAGGGATAATCAAACCCATAATTGCCTGTTTAAATTTCCATTCAAGATTAATCTGTCCTTTCGCGGGGAGAGGAGGGGAGCGGAGCAGGGGGTGGGGGTGGTAGAGACGTCTGAAAGACTTGCTTATTTCATTCAAGGAGAAGATGCCCCCCTCGCTCTGATCCATGGGTGGTAATGGGGCTGCCCAGCTTGGCAAATAGCCTGGCAGTAGGGCAGGAGTACCCTGAGGGCCACACTCGCCTTCTGGGCAACCTTCCAGGGGCCACATATACAACAACGCATGTGAATACCTCCACTGCCCGGGGCTCCATGGGGTGGATGCGAATTGCAATCCAGCAAAATCTAGGGCAGGGTTAGGCGACCCATTTTCAGACTGTGGGCCACGCTCCAAGGGCTTAGGATCCTCTAGTTCCTATGTCAGTGATGGCCAAACTTGGCCCTCCAGCCGTTTTGGGGCTACAATTCCCATCATCCCTGACGATTGGTCCTGTTAGCTAGGGATGATGGGAATTGTAGTCCAAAAACAGCTGGAGGGCCAAGTTTGGCCATCACTGTCCTACGCAGACTCAGACACACCTCTCTGTCTTCCAAGAAAGCAGCGAGCGTTCTCAGAATTGAAGGTTACATCCTGGCCCAGGGGAAAACACTCGAGCAAGGTGCGAAGGAAGGGCAGTGAGGGGCATGGGCTGCAGAACACTGCGAGGGCCAGGAGGAAATGACCAGAGAGCCACATCTAGTTCCTGTTGCATAGCTGTCAACTTACAGATTTGAAAATAAGGGACCAGCAGCCTCGAAAATAAGGGATCAGCAGCCAAAATAAGGGATTTTAGTCAACCAGCAGCCAAACGAAGCCTCGTGGTGGTTCCCATAGCGCAGCAACCCAGCAAAGGGGATGCAGCAAGGAAAACCACCGTCACCTCTCCGCTGGGAAGCGCTGAGCAAAGGCGTGTCCCCAGGCAACGCGGCCGATTTGACCGGCACAAGGCATGCAAGCTCCACCCCCCCAGTCGTTCTTAGACTCCTTATTGGGTGAGCAACGCAGCCAAGCAACACAATTGGAGCCTCCCTCCTCCCTGGCCAGCAGGGAGGGAGGGAGAGGAGCTGCTTCCTTTGAAACCCGGGAAATTTAAGGGACATCATCAATAAGGGACAGCAGCAGGACACGGCGCTGGGATAAGGGACTGTCCCACCAAATAAGGGACACTTGACAGCTATGCTGTTGTTCAGGGATGGGGAACCTGGAGCTCTCTAGATACTGGGCTCCATCTGTCAGCTGCCCCCAGCAGCCAGCATTCCCAGTGTTCAGGGTTGATGGGGGATGGAATCCAACAATTTATTGGGGAACAGATTTCCCCATTCCTGCTTCACAAAAGAAGATACAGTCGGGACATTGCATCTTTTTCTCTCCCACTCTTTGTTTTCTAGATACACGTAGGGCTAATGCAGTCTGCTGTTTCAGTGTGGACAGCAAGTTTCTTGAACCTCAATTTTCTGCTGTCCTCAAACTGCTTTGGCAGCCATGCTAAGTGCAAAGCTTGATGACAGCCTTGCGTTTTTATGTGTATAGTAGTTCTTGTTCTTGTTTATGAAATTTGTATACATGTTTGCCTATGCTAACCTTACACTTGGGTGTTGCCCTGACATATCCGTCTATGCTAATCTCATGTAACCCTCCCCTTTTGTGACATATCAGTAATGTAGCAATGATGTATTGATGATGCTGTGCGAACTGTATTCTGGGATATGGCGGGGAAGTTTTAGAAGTCAACGTCGCCCCATGCTCTGGGTTCACTCGCTGCTGTTTGAACCTGTTGTGCAACAATAAAGGATCTAAGTTTACTGCAGGCTTGTCCAAAGTCCGTTTCAGGGGCCTAATCCGGCCCGCCGGTTGGTTTGATCCGGCCCCTGTGGCAGTTTATTTCCTGGGGTAAAATCCTAAAAAAACCCTCAAAAACTTCAATCCTAAAAAAAGGTCAACAACTTTGGTCGACCCCCACAGCCCTTCACTTCATCAAATCTGGCCCTCTTTTTTGGACACCACTGACTGCTGTTTTGCTCCAAATTGCTTGGCTGGAATTTCCTTCTTTTACTGACCGCATGGACCCGCGGGGGACTTGGACCCTGATGAGCTGGGCTGCTGAGCAGTCTCTCAACCCAGAATTTTCCTTAACACTGTGAAGGGCAGGAGCAATGTTCTCTGCTCATGGTCAAATGTTCCATCACTTATTCGAGAACATGTCGGTTGGAAGCAGAGATTAAATTTGTGGGTTGGATAATCCGCAATAAGAGAATAACTGGGCTCTTTCTTCTGAATCCATTGCAATCTTTGCACGCTGGCACTTTGGAGGGGCACACAGACACGTTTTTTCCCCTCTTTCCTTTTTTTCCTCCAGAAATGATGATTTCCATGGAAGCAGAGGAGGAGTGGGGAGGGGCGTCAAAAAATTCTCAGAACAATGAACTCATCCGCCTCCCTGCATCTTGTTGCTGTGTAACCTCGTTAATTGAAAAAGTAATTAAAAATCAACAGTTTGTTGGTTTACTGAAAGAGGAAGGGAACAGGATTATTTTCCCGTTGAAAAAGAAATTAAAATAAAGCAAACCTCAGGCCAAAAATAAAAATAAAAAATGTTTGGGATAGATGGAATTAAAATGTGTGTTTCCCCCCCACTTCCCTTTAAAGAAAGAGGCAACATAGAAATCACTGACTGGTGGTGAGCCTGTCAACAGTTTAAATATTCTTGTCCACACAGTCTTCAGCACTTGCACCTTTCTGGCGAAGAATAAGGGCATGTTCGTAATTTGCATTCTCTTATATTTCTTTATTTGCCACTTCTACAAGCGAACGCTTAACACGCAAAAATAAGCCAGACAGTAAATCACCGGTGCCAAAACATTCTTTAACGAGTGCCCGTCTCGGGCAAGATGCAAGTAAGCCCTACTCATGAGTAGACCCATTGACGTTAATGGGCCAAAGTTAGCCGTGCTTATTGTTGAGATGTGAATAGGTGCTAGGAGAGGATATATTTGTTAGATATTATCCTTCCTCACGTTTGTGTGTTCACCACCCCTTTGCAGCTTAAAAGGAATCTTAGATAGGCTAGTTTTAGCCTTTTCGTTTAAGTAATCCAGGATGCTTTAAGGCAGACTGGAGTCTCCTGGTATTTTCCTCTTTTCTCCCCCTTAAAATAACAATTGCACACAAACAGTCTTGTAAAAGGGTTTTTTGAAAAAACAGAAAAACCAGCACAGACACACGTCACCACAGAAATGCATGTGAGAGGTTGGAGCTTGGCATCTCCACTGGGGCAAGATTGCCAAAAAACCGACACCCTTCCCAGCCACTTCTGTAGAACCCATGGTGCAGTGCAACGCGGGCCGAGGCCTAAGCATTGCACTGCATCATGGGCACGGTAGTATCCTAATGCCAACCAGTCTGCTCCAATCTGCTGCCCATAACCTATTGGCAAAACCTATCGGTGTTTCGCAATGTTCTGATTAGTTGCAGGACCTTAGCCAGACCTAGCAGAGTAAACGCAGAATCCACGAAAGCAATTGGCAACTTGGCTGCAAACAGGATGGACAAAGCAGGTGGAGCAAGAACTCATAGTTAGGTGTTTATTATATACAGTGGACTCTTTACAGGAACAGAACTGAACACGGATCTTTGACTTGCTCTCTCTCACACAACTCTCAACTCTCAACCACTCGTACTAACACATTCCAGTTAGTAGGCCATTAATCATTATTCCCGTGAGAGAGTTTGACCAATCATGGAGCTGTCTCCATGCCTCTGTACCACCAGGCAGACTTACTCCTTCACATTGCCTTGGCTGTCTGCCAAACCCTAACTGACTCTGTGTGAGTAGCTGCACGTATTCAGATTCCCAACAGTATGCATTTTCTACTTGTTTACCTTGTCCAGTTTCACCTCTGACATGCGGCCTTCGGAAGCTTGCCCAGACAGTGATGGAAAATATTACTCAATCCTGATAAATCAGTGAAGGCTCAGGACACCTCCAACCTTACAAAGAGAAGGAGGAGAGGGAAGCTTTCAGGTGGTTCTTAATGCAAAAGGTCCACCCCGATTCCAGAATTAATATTTGTTTCAGCAAATCCCTAGATGGTCATGATTTTAACAACTACTACTATGGTTTTCCCAGTAGTGATATACGGAAGTGAGAGCTGGACCATCAAGAAGGCCGAAGAATTGATGCTTTTGAATTCTGGTGCTGGAGGAGACTCTTGAGAGTCCCATGGACTGCAAGAAGATCAAACCTCTCCATTCTGAAGGAAATCAGCCCTGAGTGCTCACTGGAAGTACAGATCCTGAAGCTGAGGCTCCAAGACTTTGGCCACCTCATGAGAAGAGAAGACTCCCTGGGAAAGACCCTGATGTTGGGAAAGATGGAGGGCACAAGGAGAAGGGGACGGCAGAGGACGAGATGGTGGGACAGTGTTCTCGAAGCTACCAGCATGAGTTTGACCAAGCTGTGGGAGGCAGGGGAAGACAGGAGGGCCTGGCGTGCTCTGGTCCAGGGGGTCACGAAGAGGCGGGCACAACTAAACCACTAAACAACAACTACTACTACTACTACTACTACTACTTTTCATTCATTGGGTGGTCATATGTCCTGTATACTTCAGTTGAGATTCCTGCATCGCATGGGGTTGGACTAGATGATCCTAGAGGGTCCCTTCCAATCCTATAAATCGATAATAATCCAGCATCTGCTGATCCTCCCACCATAATACTTTTCCTGTGGCTGCTTGCTGGAAGGAGGAATGTGGAAGATTTGGGATTGTCATCGCCGCTCTCCCCACACCCTCCGAATGCGTGGATTTCTGCAAATCCATCGAGATCTCTCCTCCACACAGTGTGCCTCTCAGATCTCCAAACTTCCCAGCTGCTACTTACATTTAGCATGGCTGGAAGGCACCGAATTGTATGCACACAGCTTGTGACATATTTGCTCCTGCTGCTTGTGTGCTTTTTGGACGCGTTCCAGGTGGAAAGAAAGCCAATTTCTACCGCTGTTGCATCTTTGGGAATGTTCAATATCCATGCCCTCCCCCAAACTCACACACATACACACATCAATGTCAGGCCATTAGGGGGTTCGGTCTTTAAAGAGATACACAAAACCTACAGTGCTGGTTCTTTTAATTTCTCTCTGTAAAATAAATTTATTTGCTATGGCCTGCCGCCCCGATTGCATTGCTTGCCAACCCGCCCCCACCAGACCCTCGCCCCTCCCTCTAAACTTCCCCCAAACCCTCATCTCTTTCAAGTTCCTTCAAGGATTGTGGGGCAGCGCTGCAAATCCTCCAATGGAGTCTGTGCGACAACAGCCTTGCATTTTTATACATATAGGGACATAGCTCACCTTTGTAGACATGGCAATGATAAGGTGTGTCTGATGCTGCCTGGTAATAATAATAATAATAATAATAATAATAATAATATTTATTATTTATACCCCGCCCATCTGGCTGGGTTTCCCCAGCCACTCTGGGAGGCTTCCAACAAAACACTAAAATACAATAACCTATTAAACAGGGC